CGAAGGGCGCGCCCGCCCGCGGTCCTTACCCGGTTTTGACGAGTTCTGCGCTTCCACGCATGCGCAGAACTCATACAGCGCCTGCGCGATCATCCAGGAGCAGCTGGAGCATCGTGCAGACGCTAGTACGCAGGTGTGCACCGCACGCGTGCACAAGGACGCCGCCGGCCCCATTCCAACCGAACCGGTTGGAACGGGGCGAGAAACCCACCCCTGCACAGGATGATCACCTGACACCCCACCCCCCCAGGATGCTGCAACTGTTGCTAATGCATGCAGGTTGCCAAGCAGCCAAATTTTGTGACCAGGGAGGATGCTGCAATGGTCATAAGTTGAGAGGACCCATCATAAGTCAATTTTTTTCAGTACTGTTGTAATTTCACGTGGTTGCTAAACGGATAGTTTGTAAGTGAAGGGCTACTTGAATACTCACTACTATCCATATTTTCTTTCAGATTGCAGAGCCATATCCCTACTCTTCCAGTGAGAAGGACATGTCAGCTGAGACATACAGGTAAGAAGGGTCAGTGCAGAGGCATCAGTAAAAATATGTATATATATTCCCAAGAATGTCTTGTGGAATGGGTTGTTTGGTTTGTGGTGTTCTGACCCAGCCCTAGCAGAACCAAGAAACAGAACCCCTTGCCCGCCAAAACCCCTTTTTATTTAGCTACTGTGAATTCCTGGCATTCCCACATAGAAAAGTCCAGGCAATAATCCTTCCGAGGGTTAAATGAAGTACAGACCTTATCGGTTCTTGGATAATTGCCCAGGGGGTGGAGCTTCGAGCCACAAAGCTGTAAATCAAACTCTCTCAAACAGGTTCTGAGACACGAATCACAATAAGCAAAGCTTCCTAAATCGAACGGTTGTTTCCCACAACTCCCCTTTAGCTTGTATTTATTCTCCAGCCAAGGAAGGGCCACTCAGGTGTGCCTTTCTTTCTGCGTCTCGGCTCATGGTACTCAATTATTCTCCTCCCCTTGACAGCTCTGCTCATAAGCGCATCTGTAACAGGCCCCAGCTGTTCTTCTTCCCCACTTACCTCTGACTCCAAAGGCAGTTGGGAAATGTCATAAGGCCCTGGCTCCATCTTTGCTTCCGACTGGAGCGCCCATCAGAGCCTTCCCCAGACTCCAGGACTGGCCCGGGTTCCTCCCCAACCTCCTTATTGTCCAAGCTCTGCCGCCAGCTCTGCTGGCAGCTGGCAGGCCGGGAGTGGCGGGGGCGATGGGGGTGGTTGAGGGGACCAGAGACGCAGGAGAGGGTCGGGGTATTGCGGTCGTAACAGGGAGGGGCAGATACG